GATTGAAGCGGCGACTAGAAGCAAAAGTACGACGATCATGGGAGGAAGATGACCCCTCCACCGAATTCTCTGCAGGGTCCGAAGAGTTGCGATCTACTCAACTACTCGCGCTCTTTGAGGTCGATGACAGCCTGACTACGGCTATCTTCGCAAGCTCTTCCGTGACCTGTTTGTTCGCGAGGGTTACTCGTACGACTACGTCTTTGATTGGTCGCTCAAACCCGCAACGCAGACGACTCTTCAGTGCCCACCAGAGACAGATGGCTGCGAAAGACAGAAGCTCCGCTGCTGCACCGGCTCCTAGTCCCGCGGCACCCTTGCGCAGGAAGGTTATTCCTGAAGCAGCTCCCCTCCCCGCGAGCGGGCATGACAGGAAGTGAGTAGTGTGTGAATCATGTGAATATCACCATTTCTTCTTGTTACCTCTTCCTCCTTCTCCTTACCCTTTGCAAACGTGATACTATTATGCCTGCCTCGCCTGTCAATCTGTGGCGTTTGACCTGGAAAGATCGGGCGGGGTTCCCTCAATCCACTTGAGGTTTCATGCCCCAGCCTCTTTCATATACCCTTCCGTTGCTCCTCGACCAACCGTTCCCAAATACCTCTATTTCAGCACCACTGACTCTGGCTCTTTTGTGATTTTCACTCGCTCAGGCTTCGCAGTCAGACCAAAACCGTCGAAGAACAGCGACAGGCTTTTTACGATGAATTTGCGCCCTGAGCGTCTTTTTTGCTTGCTTGGTTTGTCGGAGTCGTGTGATGAAACGTTGTGATGTTGGTGTTGGCAGGTGGTCTAGTTTAGGGTGAAGATGCAGCGGCGGGTGCTTTTCCGACTCGGGTTAGATTTGAAGGATGATGATCTTGGAGATGGAGAGCGGATATCAGTAAATCGAAAAAAATGAACAAGAGGTGGGGTGGTGTGGTGCGCTTGTCAGGTTCACTTGATTGACGCAAGGGGGGGGGGGGAGGGTAAAGGGGGCTAGGAGAAAGCAGAGGCGATATTCGATCAGGCCGGTTACCCATACCTGTTCCGTCTCTCTTAATCTCTTACTGGTAGTCTTCGACGGTCGCTTATCAGCCAGGTTTCTCTGGCCGACTCGCTCTACTCCCTGGTTTTGATCGAGGACCCCATCGCTTGTGAATGTCTTCTCAAATCTCCTGTGTCATCTCTACTTTCTATCAGATTGCTTCATTCCATCCATCCCATCCCATTTCTTTCTTTTTTTGTTTCTTTAATCAACTTTTTTTTTTCAATATCTCGTTTCTGAGTTGTCACCTCTGTCTCTTGTCCTCTCAATCCCAACTCTTCTCCTTCTCTCATACTATGGTGTATGTATCTAGTATTTTTAGGCCCCTGTTCATACAAAAACACGCTTCACCCTTGTTTTTCTACCTCTTCAAATACTTGGGTTGTGGTCAAATACTATCATACATTTACACTCACACACACAAACAGATACATATCTAATAAACTTCAATTCTCATGAATATATTTCCAACTCCTTGAAATTCTATACTCTTTTCACAAACCGAATCATATAGGTTGCGTACAGTGCGCATCACCTCTTCTCAACTACCCCCAGGAGTAAGGATACGATCCGGACCCGGGATACCCGGCAATACCCGACCGGATGCCGGGTCGGGTCGGGTGTCGGATGTGGTGTGTGCATACCCGGTATCCGGCGGGTACAAGCTATTAGGGATGGGGAGCTCGGAGTCCCAACTCTCAGAGCAGACAAGCAGCTCTCAAGATGTATGTATGTGAGAAGACATGAAAAGAAATACTGGAATCGACAATTGTGTTCTGACTGGCGCATGTATGTGAGAGGACATGGAAACAAAAGTGGAAATCGACGAGCAAGGTGGTATTGTATCAACTGTTCAGATAAGATTTTTAGCAGGATCGATTTTGAGAGAAAAGGACCGGTTGAGAAAAGATGAAAAGAATCCGGAAGTCAACGACAAAGAGAATTGTTAGGTAGTTATATCATTGACATCAACAATGTCCTGATTAACCCAGTCTTTCAAGCAAATCAGTGATTCCAAGGTGTTGAGCGACATCCGGTTACGAGTTTATGTTTGAATATGTCGTCCAACCGAGAACGCTTGCTCACATGGTGCACTCGAGGCTGGGGTTCCTCAGCTTTTCATCCTCTTTACTTCACAGCCACAAATACAAGCCTTGAAAAAAAAAAAAAATGCCGCATCCGGCGGATACCCGGTGTTGGGGCCGGATATACCGGGTACGGATGCCGGATGAGCTCTACCCGGACCCGGGGCACCGGATCGTATCCTTACCCAGGAGGGTGTTCCAAATTTTTCAAAATGGGAGTTGATTTTTTTTGAATTTTTTCACTTTTTTTCAATGCCATTTTGTTTTTTTTCTTTGAATTTGTTTTTTTTTTGAGATTTTTGTCCATACAAATCAGCAGACAAGACACAATCAGAACAAAGCCATGTACAAAAACCAAAATGCTTGCAACAGCCAAAGCTCCAGCCAATTGAAATCATTGATGAGATCTAATTGTTGCATTCCAAGGGCTGCAATGATGGATGTTTCAATTATGACTGCAAGTTAGCCGGGCAACTGGCACTGAGTTTTCCTATTTTTTTCTCCTTCTTCCCTCAATATCATGTATTTAGATGGTCTATGTGCATAATACATACCATATAAATGTATATTGCATACCCACTAGGCCATAGTATGGCCTTTTTCCATGGGTGTTCCAAATTTTGAATTTGAAAATTTCAAACTTTTTTGTCTTGCATGCTACAGAATCTTGCTTTATATTTTTGAATTCCACTACTTCTGTAGAGCTCAAATATGCATTGCTTACACATGTAGCATGGTTGGTGTGAACAAACATACAGATCAAAGTTCAAATTTTTTTTGCAGGTGCGGGGTAGTCGAGAAGAGGTGATGCGCACTGTAGGTTGCACAGGGTTGCACCCAGTGTTCTTGCTGGAATGCCCAAATCTGACTGGGGTTCGGGCGCTGCATTTTGACCCGAACCCGACCTGGATTCATCGTGCGGTCAAATGTGGGACTGGAAAACCAAAAAAAAATATTTTCTCTCAAATTCTCATTGTTGAAGTTTCAGACGAGTGGATATTGGAGGACTTCCCGTCATCTAAATTTGTAAATTTACAAGGAATGGCTAAACCTTATTGGGTGGTGAAAATTGTTTGACCTCAAGATTTCACCAGCAAACAAAGTTTAGCCGGTCCATCTAAATTAAGCCATCTGGTTGACGGGAAGTCCTGTTGTAACATACATGTTACATGCCTGAACTCGCCGCAGCACGGCCGTACACGTAGACTCAGCTTCTCGTCAGAGGAGCTGAGTTGTCTGTTCTGCATTGAATCTACGATTTCCGCGCCATAGCCTCAATAAGTCCTCCATTCTATCTTATTGGTTGTCTTTTCCATCATATTTTCTATTATGTCTACTTACAGATCAAAAGATAGGTTATGAAATGATAGTTAGTCAAATGATTCTATTTGTTAGTTACACGGCAAAAAATAAAAAGCAACAAAAAACTATAAGGGCCTGTACTAATTTTGTATGTCTCCTTAAGAGACATCTTGTAATTTTCCTCTATTATACAAAAAACACCTTGTCATACAACAGTTTTTAGCAGTCAAAGTAAAAGTCATAAGAGTGGTGCAAATTCAGTGTGTTCTTTACATGCACGACTGATGTCCTTAATAATTCCCTGGAGACTTCACAGATAAAAATACCTAGTTTGCCCTTTCTCCATCTACAAACCAAAGATCTCATCAGATTGATCATTGGATACTGTACTGGACTACTGATTTGGAATGTTTGAGCAGATGTTATGTGGCTTGGTTTCATAGCAACCACTGACATCATGCTGTGCTACATAGTGTGTTCCCCTGCAGCATAAATCATTCACAAAGTGTTCCCTGCAGCAGAAATCCCTCACTCTTCAATACAAAAGGAGGGCATCTCTCCACTATGAATTCCCTGTTTCCCCATCAACCTACTGAGGTACAGCTATTCTATAAATGATTGCACCTTTTGAACTTCTTTTTTTTTTCTCACACAAATTCTTTTTGCCCCCAATCCTCAAAGCCCGGCCCCGCCTTTGCAAATTACTGCAGAGCACACACCAGATGAGGCCACCCAATTCCACCTGATCAGCCAAAGTCACACATTTTTCTTTGGGGGGTCAAGTCGGTCATGACAATTGGTAGGTAATTGCCCACGCTTTGGCCAAATGGGCTTGGGGCTTCAAGGATTGGGGGAAAAAAAAACTCAGGAGAGAAAGAAAAAACGGTTTGGAAGGCGCAATCATTTACACAATAGCTGTATGTTGGTCACAATTAGTTGGTTAGTAGTAGTGTGATTGTCATGGAATTATTCAAGTAAATTCAGAGCTTTATGAGTGATGGAAGGAACCAACCCAGAATCGGAAACCTTCAACCATAACAAGCTAAAATAAGTAGTATTATTAACAATTGTTGAATAAACTAGTAGTAGTGGTATTAACCCTGGAGCTCTAGTTTCTGATTAAAGTGCATAATTTTTAAAGGAAGAGATCATTAAACAACTCTCTATTTTGAGTTTCCACTTGTACCTTTGGACAGTGCCCACTAGAGGGGCTTGATGCATCATGACTTACCTTGCAAACAAGAGGTGAAACAGACATTGTGAGCAGGATTGGTGATTGAACAGCTATCCCAATTCATATCAGTAAGCCATCCTCAAAACTGGGATGATTACTTATCTCAGTATAATCCAACAACTTGAAATGTAACTTGAACTCTTTTATTGACAGTCAATGCATGAAGCTCAAGCAGGAGGGGAAATTATTTGTAGAGAGGAAAGAACAATGATACAGGGAGGGATGGAATATTAGAGCTTTGAAGAGAGAAGTTGGACAGGACAGAATTGAATTATCCAAAACAAGCAACAATAGAATTTTAGATGCACTTTGTATTGTTTATTAACCAAGGTTGATTGTATATTGTTACACAAGCTCAGGTGAAGGCAATAGTCACTACAAGTGGACTAATAAGCTACAACAAACTGTGATCTCATGCATAATAACAGGTGATTTGCAAAGTTAGGGGAGGGGCAGGGAAAAAAGAAAATCAAGAAAGAAGAAGAGTTATGATGGAGACATGTATGATGCAGATAGGCCAATGAATTGTTTTCAATGACCTGATGAATTTGTTTAGATACCCCAATGTATTCATTTATATATCCCAATGGGTTCATCAAGTGCATCAAGACAAGATGTAGAAAGAATTTTTCAAACAAACAATAGGGTATTGATGAAGATATTGATGCTTCCTTCATGGTAGCAGACCTTGGCAAAAATAATCAAGAGCCTGATGTTATTTCACAAATTATGGGTATGATGGTGTCATGGCAAAGAGAGCTTGGATAGCAACAGTTAGCAATAGTCAAGAAGGGAATCCAAGTCAGGCCTTGTCTCTGAGGAATTATAATGGTTATCTGGGGCAGGTGTCAACTCCAAGGAAGACCTAAGGAAAAAGCAAAATCATCCAATTATGATTCTCCAGCTCTCCCAAACAGGCTAGGGATATATCTAATTTGTGGGATAGACGAGACCTTTTGATGAAGGTAGAAAAAAAAAGTATAGTTTCAGCAACACTCACCCTCCTTGATTCCAAGCATGATAATTGATGATTTTCATCCTCTGCAAGGAAAACACAAGACCGGCGACTGGAGTATCAGGGGACAGTGGGCTCCTGGGCCGCTATTTGCTCCCTGGTCGGCACACAAGAAGCGTCGCCGTTGGGAGTTTTGAGGGACCAATCAAAGACGTAGTCGTACGAATAGCCCTCTTGAACAAATGAGGAACGGAAGAGGCTGCAAAGATAGTTGTAATCTGGCTTGTCATCGAACCTCAAACAGCGTGTATACTTGAGAAAAATCACAAATTCTTGCAGCAATCCTCGACCAAGGAATTCAATGGGAGTTGTCATCTTCTTCTCCATGATCCGGTCATACTTTTGAATCTTGGTTGCGCCTCTGATTCCTTGCCACGGTAAGCTCCCTCGGAGAAAGCAAATGAGCATATATGCGAGTGATTCCATATCATCGCGACAAGATTGTTCAACACCCTGATGGTTGTTAATGGAAGCATATCAAGCAGTGCCTGTAAGATTCTTGTCCTCCCTGTAGGGGATGTGAATTAATGATTTGGGGTCCTGATACGCTTTGGCCAGACCAAAATCGACAATGTTGACTTGGTTTGCACGCTTAGAGATCCCCATAAGGAAATTGTCGGGCTTGATGTCACGATGGATGAAATTGTGCAAGTGAACGTACTTGAGTCGATAGAGCTGTTTGACCATATAAATAGATACATTATGCGTTATTAGACTTGAGCAGGATTGCAAGGTTAGATAGGATTAAAACTTTCTTACCAATTGATCGGCGAGGAGCAAAGTTGTCTTGAGACTGAACTTGTGTTTGCAGAAGTTGAACAGGTCTTCCAAGCTAGGGCCAAGTAACTCAATCACCATAGCGCTGTATTTACATTCTGCAACAAACCATTTCATAGATCTGCAGGGGGAGAAGAAAAGGGGACTTGACCATCAGTGAAAAAAGAAGGCAAGAAAGCCAAAGGAAGGGCGTGATTATCACACAGGGAACACCGACCCCATCAGCCAAAAGTTTGTAGACATGGGCTTCATGATCGATCTGATAATGTTTTTCTCTGCAAGGTTCAAGCTTGACAGCAACCTCCTCATCGGTGATGAGATGCACTCCAAGGTAAACTTCACCTGGAAATAAGAGTGACAAAGTAAGTGGAATCTGGTAGGGTAACCTAGTAGTTACGTTGTTGAAGTTGAGAGGCAACTCACTGAATGAGCCAGCTCCGATTTTCTTGACCAGACGATATTCACAAACGCGTAAATCCATCCTCAGATGAGAAGCGAAGTGTTGAGAGAGCTTTAATTTAATTGGACCAACAAGGAAAAGCAAAAAAAAGTGTGTGTAGATGGAAAAAAGTTGCAAGTCAGAGTTGATACTCTTTGGGGAATTCTTACGGACATCGGTGTGGTAGTCAAAAATGTGAAAATTCAAAGTTTTTTCTTTTCTTTTCTTATATATATATATTTTCTTCATATTATCACCTAATTTCTCTCAGAAATCACACCATACGGCTCAAGAACTGGACTCTACGGACAAATTCACCCTTGGTCACCTTGGAGGCGTCACTGGAACACACCTGGATCAACACTTATCCCACAATGGACAACATATCACACATACTTCACCCATCAATTACATGTCACCAATCACCATTACAACCCTCAACCTACACAGACACCCTCAGTACAGTACAACCTCACATTTACATACACACTCATTTACATACACACTCATTTACATACATATACACTCCTTACATTTCACTTATACATATTACATAACTCATGCATGCAGTCTAAATTAGTATATTTTCCTTGCATGACAGCTGCAGGTGGTACCACCACATTTACTTGTAAACACCACACAACCTGACCAATCAGAATCACTCATTCAGCTGTTTGGCTCACCACTTTAACTCTTGTACATGTCTGACCAATCACATTCACTCATTCAACTTATGTATGTAGCTAAAATACCTCATGTAATAGCCCAGGCCAGCCAAAATCACTCATTACTGGCTTCCCTGGAGCTAAATTCCCTCACTATTTTCTATATAAGGAGGCTCTCCTCCCAGTTGTTGTCTCCTCAGGGTATTATTCATCAGTCACAAGTTTAGTACCACTCAATCACAGATACACCACCTTTACAGAACCTTACCCAACACCAATAACAACTCAACTCATTCTCAGCATCACACAAACTCATTCCTGAACTTACCCTATCACTTGATTAAAACTTGCCAAGCTGAGCTTGGTGGGTCTTGTTATCTGATAATATAGAAGGGCAGAGCTTGCACCTCCACCATCCCCTTCTCCATTCAGCAAAAAGGGTCTTACAACCACTTTTTGAGTCTTACATCGGTCAGCGATATATTAAATAAGGTTGGAATCTACATCGAAAGATCAAGACTTTAAAATAAGAAAATCCCTGCATATACAGGGTTTGCTTATCATCATCACCCAAACCAAGCCAAAGATTATTGTATATAAAAAGAGCATTGCCACCTTTGCCACTGGGGGGCTGAATTGTCGAGATTACAACAAAGGAAACCCAGACTTATCATTGTTGGAAATTGAATTGATCAGGTTTATATTTTGAGTTGTGGGTTGGTTGGTTGTAGTCTCAGATCAAGGCCACTCTTTGCGGTCACTAGGGGAAATTTCATGAAATTCACATACTTATTTCTACAGGGGCTACAAAATTTCTCCAGGGGCTACAAAATCAAAAAAGGAGAGCTCATGCCCTTGATTTGATTGTGAATCGAATCTGGAACGTTTGTTCCAAAAAACCTGCTAAGGCCATGAAAATTGCATTCAATTAGTGTTTTTTATTCTTTTTTTCATTTAAATCAGCAGTACAATATCTTTGGGGTAAAACTATGAGTAAGCAAAAGTGAATTTTAGAGGACATTCATTATCTTTTCTGGGAAATCAGTAGTAAATTGATCAGGGGAAAATCTAGTGACTTTCTTGTGAGTACCCATTTGATTTCTGCCGCACGATACCCGGCTATTCAACGCCTTGCGATTCACCTCAAAGGCGAGCATGAGGTTTACTACAGGGATGAGGAAGGGTTATTGCAACAAATGATGAGTGGTTCGGCCGAGCGCACAACTCTTACCGAATTCTACCGCCTTAATTGGATAAACACAGTTGGCTTGGGGGTTCCCGCCAGGACATTAATCTACCATGAAATCCCACGCTACTTTACTTGGGCAAGGCCGAAACGCTTCAAGGCTCGACAACGTCAATCCGACATGATTGGTCGAGTCTACCACGCTTCCATCAATCAAGGAGAACGATATTATCTCCGACTGCTACTGCTGAACGTTCAGGGGCCGAGGAGTCTTGCTCATCTGCGAACAGTCAATGGTCGAACCTACCTGACGTACCGCGAGACATGCAACGCACTGGGCCTGTTGGTTTCCGACCAGCACTACCGACGTTCAATGCTGGACGCTGTGGTGTTCTAAACGGTACAGGCCCCCTCAAGGTCCAATTTCAGAATTCAACTTTCAACTCTTCAATATCCTCAAGACTCAAGATTTCAATATTATCACCTCAATCCCCACTCAGTCCAATTGTTTCCTCATTTTATTATTTTATTCCATTTCCTCTTATTATTTACTCTTCATATTATTTTTCATTCATCTTGATTTTATTTCTATTTTATCATTTTATAATTCTTTATTATCTTTTTAAAATCACTTACTCAGAAGACAGTCTTGTTTAATTTTCTTGGTCCTAAGACATCTTAGTATGTTGGTTTATTTCACTCTTGATTATTTTGTTTTGTTTTGTTTTGTTTTGTTTTGTTTTGTTTTGTTCTGTCTTGTTGTGTTGTGTTGTGTTGTGTTGTGTTGTGTTGTGTTGTGTTGTGTTGTAGTTAGGGATGTGATGACATGTCTGTGACATGTCACTCCCCAGAGTCAAAGTTCAGTTTGAACTGAGATGATGGGGAAGCATGGCACTCTGATCTGATCCAAGATAGACCCATCATTTCTTATTGATCTTTTTATTATTGATTCATCTGATCCTCATACTCACCTTCACATATCCTCAACCTCAACAACCGCCACAGAAATCGAATTCTGTTGTCTCCTCTCAGAAAACCAGCCAACCCCAACGCTTTTTGTTCAGATCACAGCTCACTCATCCAGACCCCACTTGAAGGCAGCCCTCAAAGCACTTTCCCTTCAACCAACTGCCTACCGCCTGGCACAATAGGAGTTCCACATTTGGTCCCCCGAGCCGGGATCGAACCAGCGACCTCAAGATTTACAGTCTCGTCTTACTTGGTCTTCTTTCAGGCGACAGGTGTTCTAACCTTGAGGATTTCTAGCGTCTGGATTTTGTTTCAGGATCTCTAGCCTCCTTTCAGGACCTCTAGCCTTGTTTCAGGATCTCTAGCTCTGGTTTCAGGACGTTTTTTTTAGGTTCGCTTTTGGTTGATAACTTTGATCGCTTATATCTCGCGCGATGTTCGTTTTTGTGGAAAAGTGTTGCAAACGAAATTGTAGAACGGATCCGTGGCTTTTAGCTCAAATCAAGATCGTCAAAATCGGCCCAGTGGTTCAAACGTTATCAACCCTTGAAGTTTAAACCCGATTTTTCGCTTACTTCGTTTTCGGAGCCTTCTAACCCGTTACCCTCTCGTTTTTGTCGATCAAGTCCGCAGACAAGGTTGTAGCTGTTAATCAGAGCTTCCGCCTCAAATCAAGATCGTCAAAATCGGACTAGTGGTTCAGAAGTTATTGACCCTTGAAGTTCAAACTCGTTTTTTCGCTTACCTCGTTTTCGGAGCCTTTTAACACGTTACCTGTTCGTTTTCGTCGATCAAGTCCGCAGAAAAATTTGTAGCCGTCGATCGGGTCTTTCTGCCGAAATCAAGATATTCAGAATCAGATCAGCGGTTCAAAAGATATAAGCTTTCAAAGTTCAAACTCAAGTTTTCGCTTCCCTCACCTTTGGATCCTTCTGCCACCTTATCCGTTCGCTTTGGTGGATTGACTCCGTTGACAAAGTTATAGCTGCCGTCCAGGGCCTTTGGCAAAAATCAAGATCGTCGAAATTGGACCAGCGGTTCCAAAGTTATTGCTGTTCAAGTAAAACCCCTCAATCTCTCTCTCAGGCTTTCCTCTTCTTTGAATCAGTCTTTTCTACACATCACGTGGCGTATATTGTGGAGGCCTTAGGACCAGAAGTAAGTCCCCTCCAGTTGTGCACCTCTGAAGAATCACTACTATCTGTCAAAGACATCATCGCCACTTCGTGAGCCATCCTTGTTCGCCATTTGCTTTCCTTAGAGTCCAATCAATCAAGACAGAATGGCCGACAACGGAGGAGGATCTTCTAGCGACGCCATGGTCAAGATCAAGCCTCAGAATGAGGATCTAGCGTTTAATGGGAGCAATGTCAAGCGTTTTCTTTCTGAATATCAACTAGCTGCGCGTTTGGATGGAGCGTCGGAGAAGGACATGGCTCAACAGCTAGGATTTTTCATTGCAAAGGACAAGCTGTTGGATGTCGTCGAGACTTTGGAAGGATACGAGCCGCCGGACTGGCCTAAGTTGAAGGCTTCTATGATAGCGTACTGGGGAAACGTTGATACCACCAAGTTCAGTTTGCCTGATCCCGTGCCTTCTGATCAATCGCTGGAAGAGGAAAATCCCCAGAATCTTGAGCGCGGCCTCCCATTGGGTTCTCATAATGATCTACTAGTTGAGGAGGCGTTAGAATCTGATTCGAATTTTGTAGATCTGGATGTTGGGCCGGAGCTTTTTGATAAATCTAGCAAACAGGACCGTAATGAATCGATTAAGACGAGAGAACCTGCTTGGCATCCCACAAACACCAGTTTGTATTTTACGGCTGCCTCTGCCATTGAATACCCATTGGCTTCTAGAATCAACAAATCCAATCCTTCCCGAAGGCAGCATGAAAACCTCAAGTCATCCACAGTGCTCTCTGTTTCTCTTCCTCCGGTCAAAGATTCTACACTTCCAGTTCCTGATTCAGATCAAGAAGACATGGACGACAATCCCGAGTTGTTTGAGCAATCAACTGAAGATCCAAGCCCTGCTGAAGTCACCGCTGCTAGACTGATCCTTGCACTTAATCCAGTCGCTTCCCCGATCAACAATCATCTTTCTACAGAGATCTCGGAAAATCTTTCTTCTGCCTCTGCCTCAGCCGCCACAGTTTGTTGACCACTGATCTGTTATTATTGTCATTGTAAAGGCCATGGGACGGCCCACTGTCATGCACTCCAGAAGGACAAAGAGAAATTCCTTGTTGATCAGAAGGGGCACAATTATTTCCTTCCCAGCGGTGCCTGGATCCCTTTCGACCCCGTTCGACCTATCCGCAGTGTTGTGACGGCATTTCAAGCTTCAAGTCGTTCCGCTCCTCCATTTCCTGCGCCGTATCGGATCAGTTGTGGCGCTCTTCAGCCATGGTATCCAACAACCAAGCCAATTCCCTGCGCAGATCCGCCAGTTTCTGAATCTTATCATTGTCACTTGATCCGCAAATCACCCAACATCAAGTCTTCTCAACCCAAAGTCTTGTCCTCTGATCCACCCTCTCCAAAGTGTTTGGCCAAGTTTGTCAAGGAGGCAAACTCTGTCCTGAAGAAGATTATCAATCTGATGGTTCCAGGTTTCTCCGCTTCCTCCTTGGACAACGTTCATCTTCCCAAGAGTCAAATTCCTAGAAGGACAAAGGCAAGAAAAGTGATTCCGCGGAGGCATAATGGAGTCAAAGTAAGTTCTCTCCAATATGCACCTCCAGGGCTTGATGCCACCAAAATAGTCAAAACTCTATCTCGTGCCACACTTGTGAGCAATGGACAACCTTCTGCCCTCGATTCCCCAGGTGTACCAGATCCGACTTCATCCGAGACCCTCCGAGATGAGGTTAAACTATCTTCTGATCCTCCTCTGTGTTCCGTTCCCGATCTTGATCCTATTGGCCAGCTCCGCCCGACTTCTGAGCGTATGGTTTCCTTCCCAATCGCCCTCCGAGATGAGGTTAAACTATCTTCCGATCATTCTCTGCATTCCGTTCCCAATCTTGATCCTATTGGCCAGCTCCGCCCGACTTCTGAGCGTTTGGTTCCCTCCTCAATCGCCCTCCAAAATGAGGTTAAACTATCTTCTGATCCTTCTCTGTGTTCCGTTCCCGATCTTGATCCTATTGGCCAGCTCCGCCCGACTGCCGAGAGTTTGGTTTCCTCCTCCATCCGCCTCCACAAAGAGGCCACATTAAATTCTCAAGTCCAGGAATCTGTCTTCTCCTCTCAAGCCTCATCTGATCCCAACAACCATATGTCTTCCTTATCCCATAATTATCAATCTCATCCCTCTGGTGTTCCCAAATCTTCCATCACTCCTGAAGTTCATCAATCTCAATCCTCCCAGCCTTTATCCAACTCCGTAGATCCCCTTTCTTCTTCTTCTCCGATCCGGCTCCGCAATGAGGATAAACCAGCATCAGTTCCGATCCCCAATCCGCTCCGCAATGAGACTAAACAAACGTCCGAATCCTCCAATGTTGAATATCCCGATCCTGTGTCATCTGATGGTGTGCAAGCTTCCGGCCAAGTTGAAAATGATCTCTGCAATGAGGGTGAACTAGGTTTGTTACATTTTGATGAGGAAGAAGGATGGATGATAGAGGTTTTTCCCCGTGGAGGCAAAGTTGACCAAAAGTAAGTCCTCCCAATGTATGCATCTCCAGGGTATCTACTACCACATTGTAAAAACTCTACTTTATGCCACATTTGTGAGCACCTGGATGGGCCCTTGGTTTGTTTGGTTTTTTTAGGTTTTATTTTAGGCTTCAAGCGTAGGAGAAGAGAAGAGCAGTCTAGGGACAGACTGCAAGTGGTGAGGAGATGTGGTGTTCTAAACGGTACAGGCCCCCTCAAGGTCCAATTTCAGAATTCAACTTTCAACTCTTCAATATCCTCAAGACTCAAGATTTCAATATTATCACCTCAATCCCCACTCAGTCCAATTGTTTCCTCATTTTATTATTTTATTCCATTTCCTCTTATTATTTACTCTTCATATTATTTTTCATTCATCTTGATTTTATTTCTATTTTATCATTTTATAATTCTTTATTATCTTTTTCAAATCACTTACTCAGAAGACAGTCTTGTTTAATTTTCTTGGTCCTAAGACATCTTAGTATGTTGGTTTATTTCACTCTTGATTATTTTGTTTTGTTTTGTTTTTTTTTGTTTTGTTCTGTCTTGTTGTGTTGTGTTGTGTTGTGTTGTGTTGTGTTGTGTTGTGTTGTGTTGTGTTGTGTTGTGTTGTGTTGTGTTGTGTTGTGTTGTGTTGTGTTGTGTTGTGTTGTGTTGTGTTGTGTTGTGTTGTGTTGTGTTGTGTTGTAGTTAGGGATGTGATGACATGTCTGTGACATGTCACTCCCCAGAGTCAAAGTTCAGTTTGAACTGAGATGATGGGGAAGCATGGCACTCTGATCTGATCCAAGATAGACCCATCATTTCTTATTGATCTTTTTATTATTGATTCATCTGATCCTCATACTCACCTTCACATATCCTCAACCTCAACAACCGCCACAGAAATCGAATTCTGTTGTCTCCTCTCAGAAAACCAGCCAACCCCAACGCTTTTTGTTCAGATCACAGCTCACTCATCCAGACCCCACTTGAAGGCAGCCCTCAAAGCACTTTCCCTTCAACCAACTGCCTACCGCCTGGCACGATAGGAGTTCCACAACGCGGGACTATGGATGAGTGGGATGTCGCTGAGGCACATGTTTTGCCTGATCCTCATACATAGCCCTCCTTCCCGCCCGCAAGGATTGCTAGAAGAGTTCATCGAGGTATTGTCGGACAATCTGATTTACAAGCTGCAAAACACTTACAACATCCGAAATCCGTCTCTCGAACAGAGAACCTCTCTATGCTACTACCTCATCAAGCAGATCCTTGCTGAAAATGGCAAGTCGCTTGCTGACGTCGGGCTGAGACCGATAGCAGCCGATGATCGATTATGGTGGTACTTTGACACTGTGTCTGCAAGAGAAGAGACAATGAGAATAACGGACCACACCAACCGGTTTCTGGAGATGTCCGCCAGGCTTAACCAAAAACAGAGTGCGATAGCTGATGCTGTCATCGGTTTGACATCCGCAGGCGAGGCGGGTCTGATTTATGTGGATGGCCCAGGAGGATGTGGAAAAACATTCCTCCTTAACACATTGATACATTACTTCAACGCAAGTGAAATACCTGTGATCACCGTGGCCTCTTCCGGAGTGGCCAGTTTGATGTTGATCAACGGGATGACTGCCCATTCAAGATTTAAGATACCCTTGAACGTAGACGAGAGTTCTGAATGTTCTTGGCGGCCTAGATCCCCATCGACAGAAGCTTTGTGAAGTGCAAGGGTAATCATATGGGACGAAATATCAATGCAGGTGAAGTATGCAGTCGAGGCGGTTGACCAAGCTTTCCGTTCCCTCATGGACAACGAGCAACCTTTCGGGGGAAAGATCGTGATTTTCGGAGGCGACTTCAGACAAACTCTTCCAGTGGTCCCAGGCGGGTCCGTTCTCGACCAGGGAAGATGCTGCATGATCAGCTCAGCCATTTGGAATGACGTGTTCTACTTTCAACTCACTCAAAACTTGAGATTGAGGGCCAGTGGGGATGACCAGTCGGCAAGGTCAAACCTGTTGCGGCCAACTGGGTCCAGCAGAGATGGGTGAATGGAAGGATAGTATTTCATCAGAGAGAATGAAAACAGACTGAGAAAGAGAGAAAGAGAAAAGAAACAACAAGACCAAAAAGGAACTTACCTGGGTCCAGCAGAGATGGGTGAATGGAAGGATGAGGAAACCATTCATACACCTTGCTGGCCCGAGGTAACTACACAGACAGGTGTCACAGACTGTGACATGAGAGAAACAGGGAGGAAGCAGACTAAAGACTGACAGCTCACTCAACAGCTTTGCGGAATGGCTGCTTTCTGTAGGAAACGGCTCGGGCCAGACGGACTTCACCGCCGACATAGACATAGCCTTCGGTTGGGTGTACAGACATTCAGACGCCCGGGTAGTGGCAGAGCGTGCCATTGTAAAAACTTACGGGGACATGGCTGTGGCTTTAAATGACCCGGAGGCCGGTAGACTCAATGCCTATTTCGGAAACCGCCTGATATTGGCCCCGCTGAACTCCGATGTTAACCGGATCAATGCCATTTGTTCTTCTCGATTACCAGGCGAGGTTTTCGTTTCCCACTCGATAAATCAGATGCGAAACGAAGAGGATGGAGAAGACAGCGACGAGGCCATCCCGGAAGAGGTTCTCAGGACCTTTTCCATCCCCGGTTTCCCTGAAGCCGACATAGAGTTGAAGGTGGGGATGCCGGTCATTCTCCTCCGGAACTTAGACCTCAAGAGGGGTTTGTCGAACGGGACTAGGCTTTTAGTCCTGGCGATCAGACCCGACGCCCTTCGCTGCCGGATATTGACTGGGTCCTGCACCGGTGCTGAAATTGCTATTCCTCGGATTAGACATGGCCCCAAGTACTCGTTTGCAAGTACTCGCTACTTGTTTTCGAGTACTTGTTGGGAGTGCACAAGTACTCGCCCGCGGGTGGCGGGTGCGAGTACGAGTGCCTTGTTTTTGAGCTGAAAAACCAGCAAGTACTTGCACAAAGTACTTGCCGACACCCGCCCTCCTCAGAGGTGCAGGTGACCGGCCTAACCACCAACCCAAGGTCCCACTGGTCCCACGCACATCGGCAAACCCACCCATCAAACCGAGAAGTCCTGTTCATAGCTCCATCCAACCCCGACCAACCACACCCTCCTCGCTGATTGATCCTCGGCTCTTTACCAGTAAGTCATCTTTCTCTTGATCTCGTCGCCCTTGGCAACCGGGTCTAACCTCACACTGTTATTCATATCTCGTTCTACTTCTCTTTCCATCAACCACGCGCTATAATCGACGGATCGATCATTGGACTTCATTTTGCTGTAGTATTGTCTTTGATTGACTGATCCGCTTCGGATCCAATAATGTAAGTAATTTTTTTATGTTTGTTATGTTAGCAATCACTTTTCAGATTCATGAACAAGCCCTTCGATCGCAAACAACCCCCATCGATTGCGACTGGCTATCGATTCAAGACTATGGCAGGGAGGGGGAACAGCAAGAAGCGACGCATGTCGTCACCCACCTCCTCAACTACAAATGACCCTGCTAGGTCCAAGCAACGATCGAAAAAGAACAGGACTCATGACGTGATTGATTTGGCTAAGTCCGATGAGGGAACGAGCCCTAGTACTAGCGACCGAGACGACGGGTCTCCTGAAAGCACTCAGGCTTCCAACACCAAGGAACTCACTGATGAACAAGAGCTGAGTAAGTTGTCTTTGAGTCTTCATCAGTGTCCTGACCAACTTGATCAATCAAAAGCAATCAAAAGACTAATATATCTCAATGTCTTATTTTTTTTAGGAAAGGCACTGAGAATTCATAAGAACCAACTCAGCCCCTCCTATGCTTCTTTCCACCCCCCAGAACTGTCTGACCAGAAGGACAAAAAGAAAAATCTGGGAGAAAATGAAGGTCTTATTATTACTATTTACAATCACTTAGGTCACTTAGTTTAGAAATACAAATCTCTGAAATGAAAATACAAGAAATTTATCTCCTGTATCTCTCCAAATAAGCTTGCATACTTGCAAGTACTTGCCACAAGTATGCAAGTACTTGCTTTGTAATGCCCCCACAAGTACAAGTACAAGTATGGGTGTCTGAAATCTGAGATTTTTCATGCAAGTACTTGTACTTGTCGCAAGTATGCAAGTATGAGGGGCCATCTCTACCTCGGATAACGCTTATCCACAAGCCCGACAGGATCTACGCCGTGACATTCTCCAGGCATCAATTCCCGATTGCCATTGCCTTTGCTTTGACGATCAACAAGGCTCAGGGGCAGTCATTGTCAACTGTGTCTGTTTACCTCCCCCAACCCGTTTTCGGCCATGGGCAACTATATGTCGCATTGTCACGGGCCACCAGCGTTGAAGGATTGACGATATGCATGGTTCAAGACCAGCTATCCAACACCACCGCCACCACATCCAACGTCGTCAACCTCGAAGTGATCAAGAAATGCCAAGACCGGGCCCTAGCTTAATGTCGTAAGTCGGCAGACCGCTGTACACCCTTAACGTCTTAAAACTTCAAAACAACTCATGTATGTTTTGGGCAACTGCGACAGGGCGCACGCAGTGACAAAGATCTCCGGGGGATAGCATGATTGTTTCCAATTGTCCCTCTGACTTCATCAGTTGAGATTCATCATCCCCCAATATGAAAAAGGGTGAACACTAGACCCCCCCCACAAATTCTTCTACCGGCACCATCTTAACAAGTGGTTTTTCTGGGAGTATTTCGCAGATTATGTACAAGTGTAATAAGTGTTTACAAGTGTGACAAAGTCTACAATGATATGAAGATTCTACCCCGAAATTAAAATGATACACCGATTCACCCTGTCTGCCTCCACTCAACTCATAATGAGTCAGGTCTCAATTCCCAGGGGACCGGGGCGCTCGCCGCCCCGGCTCCCCTAGTTATTTGTGAGTTGCAGTCACTGGAAAGACAGTGCCCTGAAAGTTCCCCTGGTGGGTGTAAGGGGAGAGTATAAGTTGAGGGAGGGAATATGCTGATGTTATCTGCAAGTAACTGATCAAATAATATTGGGAGCCGGAAAACTGGACAAAAATTTGAGCATGATCACTCGGTGCTGGTCAGCCCAAGAGTTGTGGACGATGTGCTCATCATATTTGAACCGGGCTCTCGAATAAACAATAGCTCTTCTTGCCAATCTACAGCCAAGTGATCCAATTCAACTCGGTCTGCTTGGACCAATCTATTACCTGAAAGCATCATTAATATCCTCACGTTATAAACACTAGATTTGTCACTTCCAAATAAATATCCCCAGCCCAGAAAGTGTAGCGCAATATAGCCACAGTTAAACATGTTGTGCTCCCCAAGTGCTAGTTCTTCTCTTGAGCTTCATGAGCTGCTCCTGCTGAGATCAGGTCGATGGATTCCGAGGTTGGTCCCAAGATAAGCAAGAAACAATAAGTAGAAGCCAAGTGTATAACTTCAAGGTGGATCCTCATAATTACCCCATTGAGGAGTAATGGAAAGTCTGATTTGCATTCACCACACTCAGACTTGCCACTTCCAAGCTGACCTCCAGGGATGTACTTGCTTGCCAGTGAATAACACTCCCTAGTGATTTTCTATGTAAATCTCACTCAGAGCAAGTGCACATATCTTTCTCCTGCTCGATGGGGTGTGTGATTATGTAGGACCTTGTTACTGGGGGCCCAATTTGCATCCTCCCGGTAAACAAAATGGCTGGCTGGGTACAGCGGGTGTAGTTTGTTTGGATGGGATGTGGGAACTCGGGGTATCGGCCGCCAAAAAGGGGAGATGGGGGATGTGCCAGCAAAGGAGTGGGGACGAGGCCAAAGGCCTATATGACTGGGTATACCTGGAGATACCTGGATATCCACCAAGATTTCAAGGAAAAGCGGACATCTGCACCCAAATCCATATACCCTGGCAGGTATCCGCCAGCAGATAGAGACCATCTCTACATCAGCTCCAATCAACTAATATTTTCTTTTTTTTTATTAATTTCTGTGTTCCTCTTCCTCATTCCTGTGTAGTTCTTCATTCTTGTTGTGATTCCAAAATTTCTTATAGCACTGCACCTTTGAAAAGTGCCAAGTTTTGAGCAAGGCCAAGCACAGTTTGGGCTAGCCCAATCCAGACTTTGAGTTTCCACTTGTACCTTTGGACAGTGCCCACTAGAGGGGCTTGATAGACCATGATTGAACTTACCTTGCAAATTACAAGAGGTGAAAAAAGACATTGTGAGCAGGATGGGTGATTGAATAGCTAGCCCAATTCAGATCAGTAAACCACCCTCAAAACTGGGATCATTAATTATCTCAGTATCATCCAACAACTTTAAATGCAACTTGAACTCTTTTATTGACAATCAACGCATGAAGCTCAAGCAGGAGGGAAAATGGTGTGTAGAGAGGAAAGAAGAATGATGCAGGGAGGGAGGGAATAATAGAGCTTTGGAGAGAGAAGTTGTACAGGACTGAATTGAATTGAATTAGCCAAAACAAGCAACAATAGCATTTTAGATGCACTTTGTATTGTTTATTAACCAAGGTTGATTGGATGTTGTTCCACACACGCTCAGGTGAAGGCAATAGTCACTACAAGTGGACTAATAAGCTACAACAAACCTTGATCTCATTCATAATAACAGGTGATCTTCACGAAAAGTTGGGGGAAGGGGCAGGGAAAAAAGAAAATCAAGAAAGAAGAAGAGTTATGATGGAGTCATGTAGATAGGCCAATGAATTGTTTTCAATGACCTGACAAAATTGTTTGGATACCCCAATGGATTCCTTTATATATATTTTCCAATGGATGCATTTATATATCCCAATGGATTCATCAAGTGCATCAAGACAAAGATGGAGAACAAATTTTTTCAAACAGTAGAGTATGGATGAAGATATTGATGCTTCCTTCCTGGTAGCAGACTTTGGCAAAAATAATCAAGAGCCTGATGTTCTTTCACAAATGGCGGGTATGATGGTGTCATGGCAAAGAGAGACTGGATAGCAACAGTTAGCAATAGTCAAGGAGGGAATCCAGGTCCGGCCTTGACTCTGAGGAATGATGATGGTGATCTGGAGCAGGTGTCCACTCCAAGGAAAACCTGAAGGAAAAAAAAAATAGCTGTCCGATTATGATTCTCCGGCTCTCCCAACCAGGCTAGGGATATATTCCTTGTGGGATAGACGAGAGCTTATGATGAAGCTGGGGGCGAAAACTGAGAAATGTATAATCTCAGCGACACTTACCCCCATTCATGCCAAGCATGAGAATCGATGAGTTTCATCCTCTGCATGGACCACGTGAGACCGGCGACTAGAACAGTGTGCTCCTGAGCGGCTATTTGCTCCCTGGTAGGCACACAAGATAGATCGCCGTTGGGGGTTTTAAGGGACCAATCAAAGACGTAGTCGTCCGAATAGCCCTCTCGAACAAATAGGGCACGGAATAGGCTGCGAAGATAGTCGTAATCAGGCTTGTCACCGAACTGCAACGAGCGTGAATAGTTGAGACAAATCACGAATTCTTGTGGCAAGCCTCGGCCAAGGGATTCGGTCGGAGTAGTCATCTTGCTGTCCATGATTCGGTCATACTTTTCCGTCACGGTCGATCCTCCGAGTCCTTGCCATGGCAAGCTCCCTCGGAGGAAGTAAATGAGGATATATGCGAGTGATTCGATATCATCGCGACAAGATTGTTCGATGCCCAGATGGTTGTTGATGGACGCGTATCGGGCAGTCCCTGTGAGAGTCTTGCCCTCTCGGTAGGGGATGTGAATCAACGACTCGTGGTCGCGATAAGCTTTAGCCAGACCGAAATCAACAATGTTGACTTGGTTTGCACGCTTGTTGATGCCCATGAGGAAATTGTCGGGCTTGAGGTCACAATGGATGAAATTGCGGGAGTGAACGTGCTCGATTCGATAGAGCTGTTCCGATCGTATATATATAAATACATGGTCTATTACTCGAGTCGACCAGAATTGGAAGATTGAGAATGCAAGAAAGCTTGCTTACCAATTGATCGGCGAGGAGCAAAGTCGTCTTGAGACTGAACTTGCGTTTGCAGAAGTTGAACAGGTCTTCCAAGCTAGGGCCGAGTAACTCAATCACCATAGCGTTGTATTCGTTTTCTGTGCCATACCATTTCATAGATCTGCAGAGAATAAAAAAAATGAGTTGACCATCAGTCAGAACAAAAAGGCAAGATGATTATCACACGTACGGAACGCCGACCCCATCGGCCAGAAATTTGTAGACATGGGCTTCATGACCGAGCTGAGAATGTTTCCCTCCTACACCTTCAAGCTTGACGGCAACCTCCTCCCCATCGGTGATGTGGACTCCAAGGTAGACCTCGCCTGGAAGTCAGAGGGACACAAAGTCAGTGGAATCTGGCAACAGTATGGATTACGTTGAGTTGAGAGGCGACTGACCGAATGAGCCAGCTCCGATTTTCTTGATCAGACGATACTTATCACCAAAGCGTAAATCCATCATCAGATGAGTGTCAAATCTGTTTTGGATCAACAAAATAAAAAAGAAGAAGAAGAAGCAGAAGGGGGTAACAATCGGTACTTTGTAGCTGATGGAAGGAAGAGCAATCTAGTAAGCAAGTCTGCCTATTGTACATATTATTTATATATATTCTGTGAACTCAGTCAAGTCTTCGGAGAATTGTTACGGACACCAGTAAGGCTAGCTACAATTGTAAATAGATTGGTTTGGTTGGAATCTATCGACAGATGAAGATGAGGAAAACAAAAAAAACATCTAGCTGGAGATCGTCCGACCCCTGCATATTGTAAATATCCGCAACAGGGTTCGCTTGTGTATCATCACCCCACCAAACCACGCCATTAAAGATTATTATGAAAGTTTAGCATCGCCACCGGGGGATGTACATAAGTAGCTCCTCGATCATCAACTGGCTGGATGTGAAGTTCTCCAAGCCGGCGAGCTGGAGGATGATCCCCCTCAATCCTTCATGGTGACTCGGTTGGTCACCCATCAAAAAGAGTAGTGGACGATATCCATCTGTGCTCTAAGTAGTTTGGGGCTTTCGAATAATTAACAAACGACTATGTAGCTCTTCTTGGCGATCCGATTCGACTCGGTCTTGTTCAAGTTGACAGGTTTGATGCAGACCTTACATACCCTCAAGTGCTTTACTGCCTGCTTTAATCTCTCCCGAATAAATAATCCCCTGCCCAGAAAGCGTAGGGCGCCCGCTTCATCAAGCCACAGTTTTAATGTTGTGCTTTTTATCTTGAGCTTTACGAGCTGCTCCGCTGGTTGATGTGCTGATCTCGGTTTGTGGGTGAATCTGGCTATCGATGTGAGGTTGCTCCCAAGATTCATAAGCAAGCACATCCCCAGTCTCGCTGGCCATGGACAGAAGATCGGATCGCATGGGATCATGGATCTCTCTTCCGAGTCTCATCCCATGATCAAGTCTTCAGCCAAGCCGGCTCAGTCATCTGCAGGGCTCATCGGCCCCCTCCGACACTGTTACAGGCTGAGCCCGGGCAATGTCCGTTCCACGGAATTCAGAAGCCCCACTGCGACACTTGAAACTGCACATATTTCAGATCAGTCTGTGTGACGTCGCTCTGCTCTCAGTTAAAGTCCCTCAACTTAAAATATTTTCAACCCTCTCATTACCATCACCATCACCATCCCCTCGCCATCATTTACAACCAACACATCCCATTCATCCCACTACATAAATCAGTCCCATCCAATTGGGCTGACTCTCTCTAGCCCATCATGGCCTCCTCCCCTGTTCGCAAGTCCACTGCCCAATCCAACTCCTCCAATCGCTCCTCCGCCGTATCCAGTCCTGCGAAGAACCCCAACCCAACAGCAACATCAACAACCACCGCCGCCAAACGTCTTTCGAACATGAACCCGACCAGATCCAACTCCCTCAACACCCACGCCTCGGCCGACGAACTCGAACGTGAACGAGCCAAGGTCTCGAGTCTCAAGGCGCTCATCACCGCTGCCGAAGAGAAGGAAGCCGACGCAACCGCCCAAGCTGCCAACTGGCGCTCCAAAGCCGACCAACTCTCGAATACTATCGACAGGATGGAAGCCGAACTGGCCGAGGCCCAAGAGCTCAAAACTAACTACGAACGTCTAACCAAGGAGCTCGAGAAACTCAAAGCTGCCCATAAGGAACTCGAACGAACTCAATTCCGTCAGGTTTGCCCTTTCTTCTTCTTCTTCAATCCCCATCTCCATCCCACTAAACTAACTCCCAATCCATCCATTTCAGGCAGACGAACACGAAGCCAGCAAAGCCGCTTGGGCTGAAGAAGAATCTAACTTGCGAGCGCAGCTGTCCACCTCAAATTCACAACTCCTCACGCTTCAGAAACAGTATGATGAGAGCAACAAAGCCGATTCACTACCTTCACAGCCCGGCTCACCCATCAAGCCAGCTCCTTCTGAGGTCCCCGATCGTCTTGAAGCAGAGCACACAACAGCTGCGCTTAAGGCCGAAGTCGAAGCCCTCAAAGCCCAACAGGCCACTAACCAGGCCACGCTGGAACAAGCGATCGCCTCATCGGAGACTCTCAAGACTCAGCTCGCCGACCTAGAACGTGTCAACGAACAACTCATGGACGATAACGAATCCTACCAATTCTTGGTCGGTGAGCGCACTCTCATGGGTGGCTTTGACATCAAGCAACTCCTGCGCGTAGACGAAGGCGAATCGGCCCCAGGCCCGAGCCCTGTTGCCCGTCGAAACAGTCCTTCAAGCTCATCGACTCCATCCCTCGAGGGTGTTGAGGAGGAAGATGAAGAGGAGGAGGAGGAGGACGACGAGGATGCCGATGCAGCCATCGAGCGAGCCGTACTCGAGTCCCATGGAGACGGCTCTCGGACCACTGGCGCAGTCGAAGCTGGCATCTCCAAAAATTTAAAACCCAAACGGATCCCTAATCGTAGAAATGAACCTACCGGGCTCGGATTGGATCTCGCTGCTGAACTGGCTCAGGCTGAAGAAACTGAAGTCCACCATGGTCGCAAGGTTGAGCTTGAAGAGCGTAAGAAAACCAAGAAAATCAACAAGGATAAAGACACAGGTAGGTCAATCAATTTTAGCTTGTGTCGGCGAGCCCACCATTTTCTTCTTCTTTTTTTTGGGGGGGGGGGCATGTGCTAATCTGTATTCCCGCATATTCCAACAACAGAAATTAAAGCGCTTCAAGATACCAACAAGGCGCTGGTGCTTTACATCTCCAAGATTCTTGATCGTATCTCAGCTCACGATGGATTCGAAAAGGTGCTTTCGAGTGATTACACAAAGGATGGGCCCAACAGTCCAGCCCGGCAGCGCACCCGATCCGCAACAACTGCCCATACAGCAGCTAGTGGCCCTCAAACTGCTAAAGGAGGTACGTGATTTCTGCCTCGATGAAATTGAGATAGAGCTTCACAACAGCAATCAGGAGCTGAAGAAGCGTTTGGAATCTGCCAGGTCCTGCAAACATTGCTTCCACAGCAGCCAACCCAGCAGCCAAACGATCGAGCTGGTTACAATACTTCATGCGGTCGCCTCCAGCCGCATCCAACAACATCAAACCTCTCCGATTGGGCACTGGTAGCTCGGTCACTCCGGGTGCTTCTGCACCTTCAGCCGGATTGAGTGGAGGTTGGGCAGGGGTGAAGGAGCAACCCGAACTAGAGGAAGATGATGAAGAAGCATGTGCTCGAGAGCGAAGAATAGCCGAGATGAAGCTTCACGGGACCTACCAGGTAGACTTTAGCTCATCAGGCGAGAGCGGGAAGCCGCAGGATGCGACGATCCGAGCGAACCGACGTTCGTCGAGCATGTATGGGCCTAGCCAAGCGGCGATGACAGTGGTGGAAGAGAAGCGACGGAACTCGGGGGAGATTGGCGGGGTGAGCAAGCTCTCGCTGCTGCCGAGCATCGACTCCTCCTTGGTGCCCTTGAGCCAAGCCGGGCTGATGAAGCGGACGGAGGAGCGCGAGAAGGAGTCGAAGATCAACCTCGAGAAGGGCCAAGCCTCCGGGTTCACGGAGATCGAGATCCGGGGACACCGGATGCGGCCCTCGGTTGCCCGCCAATCTACAACCCCTAACCACCCCCTCTCCCCCGCACAATCTAACTTCTCCTTGAGCCCTAGTAAGAGCGCCTCTTCCTCTACCGCCACTGCTCCTGCGCCTGCTCCCGGTGGGATCAAAGGCCTCAAAATGACCGCAGACCTTAATAACACTACTAACGAACCTGCTAACGAAGGCTTGTTGGCTCGTACCGCACGAAGAATCTCGATGATGAGCGGGACTAAATAGTCCAATCAATCAATCTTATCACGTCTTCTTACGACCACCACACTTCGCCATTTTTGATTATCTCATCATCATCATCAGATTGTCATTATTGTTTTGTAGACTAGTCGCGGTCTCCCTTTTCTTTTTTTTTTTTTTTTTTTTGAATAATGCTTCATTTTTTGTCTTTTTGGTTGCAGTTAGATCTCAAGAAGAAGCTCTCTCGACGGTCGACCTGATTCAGTTATGATGTTATTTTGTTCTGCTTCTTCTTTTTGATTTACTTTATCTCTCTCCTCAACATTATGCATTGTTAGTCACTCATCCATCCACGAAGTTTTCATTCTATATATATATATATATATATAAGGTTTGGTTAGTTGGTTTTAACTGTCGCTGCTCATCTTCATCTATCTTATCATCTCCCTTCCTCCTCCTCCTTCCTTCTTCTTCTTCTTTTATCATTTTGAAAATAATCTGACGATCTGTTCGAAACTGTATGCACTCTATATAATGCCCTCCATTCTTCTCTTCCTTTTATACATCTTCTTTCATCCATTGCCAACATGAATTTTGTTTTTTTCTTTCTTGGTGGATCGTCTATCATCATCAATTCATCCAAGTTGATCGGTTTTTTTCTTTCTTTTCTTTTATCGAAGAAATACATCCTCTTTTTTTTTGCTTATCATTACTTTTTCTTTCTTTTTTGGGTGGGGATGGGGGGAGGAGGGTTGTAGAGTTAGACGCGCGTCGGTTTTGGGTCTGTTTTAGGGCCTGTACCGTAGGGTTCGATTTTCAAAAATGTGCATTTTTTCCATCCTCTGCACAAAAACTGGGGACAATTGGAGAGATCTGGTGTTGAAATTCTTCACTTTCACATATGCCACAAAGACTAGCTTCTAGTTATGGTCAATTTTGATACATGATATAAAATTTTGTGCAAGATAAATCTTGAGAAATTGGATATTCATGTCCTGTGGCACAGGCCCTTATATAAATTAGTGGCCCTTATATAAATTAGTGTTGGTGTGCAAATAAAACAGCTCGAAAATAGTGCCGGTTGATCGTCTTCAGCTAGCTTAAAAAGCAAAGCCTCTCCCTCGGACGAGCTAGGGTCTTCTCAGCCCATCAGGCACGCAAGGCCCCGCGATTTTTTTCCGCTCCGGGAGTCCGGCTGCCCTTCTTGACTCGGCTGACTGGTCGAATGGTGCCATCCCGAGGTTGTAAGGCGCGTTCCTCACGACATGCATCAGCGGCAGGAAACTGGGAAACTTACGACAAGTTCCTGTGTCACATGCACCTCAACACAAGCTCCTCAAGCAGAGGTGTGTCAAGACCCTCGCCATCGAGATGGCTCTCACTCCCGCCTCCAGGCCGAGGCGTACAGACTACCAATTAGTAGAATCAACTTCGGTAGGGCCCACCAAACGTATAGCACAAGTGCCCAGCTTTAGTGAGAGCCCCCTGACTACGGCCGAAGGCCGCCCTCTCGGAGCGGGCTCGATGGACTCCCTAAGGCTAAAGGGACAACACACACCCTCCGGTGGACGCCGTGGGACCAGTGTTTCAGGCTAACTTCGCCGAAGTGCCTCGATCGGCTAAGAGGCTCGCTTCGCGAGGCGCCAACGGCGCGCCGGTCCTCCGTTCCCTGAAACGAGGGGATGGTGTTGTTAAGCTAGCTCGATCGAATGGCCTGGTATACATACTGCCAGGCTGGCGCGAAGCCAGCCGTCCGAATCGGTTCCCCAAGGTGCCCGCGGCAGGCCGGGGTCTCCCCGGCGCTTCTGTCGAGCGGATTCGTCAAGCTAGTGTTTCAGGCATGGGGCGTGCACGCGTGTCGTGTTCACACCTTTTTGTGAGACTCTCATCCTGAAACTGTGAAAAGCCAAGTGATGTAAACTGAAAAAGTCTAGACTCCAGAACATACCGAAAAAGAAAAAAAAAATAACGATCCAACTTCATACATACAGAAAAGGTAGCCCATACATACAATACTCGGCCTTGCAATCAGCCTAAAAGTATGTCGTCTTGGTCTTGTCAGAGTAGGCGAAACTTGTATATACATGTGCAAGGATCCGGGATCCCGGCAGCGGAATGAGTAACAAGCCAGAGTGAGTCTTGCTTCGTATAGGGCAAGAGCAAAGCCAGCGGAATGTCGCCAGCTTTGCACGAAAGCCGAGCGCATTTTCGCTATAAAAATCCCTGGGTTGGATCCCATCTTGCCCCCCTCTCCCATCTCAAACGTAGTGATCTAGCTTTTATCGATACTATAGTGCTTTGATTGATCCAACCTTAGCAGCATTCCTCTTTCAAGCTTCGACTGGTCTGAACGACATCTGCGTTCATTGACATCTACCATTCTTTTGTTTGCCATTTCCATCATCCAACGCTGTTAAAAGAGCAAGATATCAACAAAGGATCGTCAAGATGATGAAGTGTACTCCTTTCATCGTTGCCCTTATAGTTTGGGTGACTGGCTTGATTGCAAACTGTCTTGGGAATGGATACGCGCCTTGTGAGTGACGAAACTTTGCCGCCAGACGCTTCTAATTGCAACAACAACCAGCCCAACAGAACAAACCCAGGCTAACGATCCGAGTAAAATGATGCAAATGATTGATGCAGGTGTTCCGAGTACGGCATGGAAGCATGAGAGTGTGATGGCGTCAGGCCACGAGAATTTAGAGCAGCTAGAAAGGATGCATGGGGCGACGACCAAGCTGACGATTCCGGCGAGGACGCCGATCCCTCGGCGATTGGCATACCGACTTGGACCCTGGGAGGTCACCTTCCAATGGGCCATCGACGCCAACCAATGTTGGATCCAGAACCGCTCCGGCTCGGCCATCGATTACATGTTGTGTGATCCTGAGCGCCGTCACTTTCTCTATTATCACAGCCTCCAACCCGGCTTGCCCCAGTTGATTGATATCCCTACTGATCTGGCTCAAGGATTATTGTTTCTCGCTATTGCAGACCCTGTTTAACTTTACTACTACGACACACGCTCTCTCTTACTGTTCTTTCTCTTGTTTATAATCTCTGTTGTGTTTTCAATTTATTTTCTTTTTTGACCATTTCTGTTCTCTAGCTTCTTGTTGGATGGTAATATGCTTCAACAATCTTCCTATGAGGAGCCAAAGGCTTGTGTGTGTGTTTGTGAAAGTGCAGGGTGAGGAGGATGAGCCAAGGGCTTGTGCAGGGAACAGACGCACTTTTCCTCACCCTTTGAAACACTGATCAATGCATGTATCATATTGATTGGAAAATCATATCCCAACACGATTTCCATGAGAAGTGTTTAAGCCTTGGGAAAAAAAAAACAAGTGGATATCATCCACCAGTTGAACTATTGTGGAACAAAACAGTAGCTGGCAGTTGGAAATCCCACTGATCTCAAATTCCAGCTGACTGATCCCAAAGTTATGCAAAATTTGTTCTGGCATTGATCAGAGACCATCCAAATAATTCAGCAGTCTTCTTGCCTTCCTTCCTCCCATCCTGCCTACCTTTTTTTCACATCTGACCATTAGTCATGATCTTGCACTTCTGTCATCATCATCATCTTGATCTTCTGTTCTCCTCTTGTCAGCCTCCACTTGATGATCTTACAAATTGCATTTTTTTTCTTGGTTCTGCGATTAAGATCTTGCCTTTGACTGCTTTGATTGATTCCTCCTCTTGCCGCCTTGATTTGATTCTTTTGCCATCTAGATTTGATTCTTTTGCCATCTTGATTTGATTCTTTTGCCATCTTGATTTGATTGTTCTGCCATCTTGATCTCTTGGTGTTCATCTTCTGTGCAAACATGCCTGATCACAAAGACAACACTGTTTTTCTTCTTCTTTTAATTTGATTTATTGATGCATGAATCCCAAGATATTTCCATGCTATCTGAATTGCGTAGATAAAGAAAGAGTTGAGAATCAATCTTGTTTTATAGTTTTTTTTGGTTCTTCTTGATTGATTGATTGATTGATTGATTGATTGATTGATTGAGGTGTGAGAATGACTGAAAGAATGTAACCCAAGTATACTAAATAAACATGTCTGTTGTCTGTCTGTGTGTGTGTTCATATGGGTGTCAAGTGAATATAAGCATCTATGTATATGGAGGTATAAGTTTTAAGCAAGTCAACAAAAAAAAAAGTTAAAAGATAAAAGGCTGATAAAAAAAACTGAATCTGATACAAAAAACCAAAGAACTGAAAAAACCTTCATCTTTTGTGCTTGTTTGCTTTTTTTTTTTCTTGCTTGCTTGTTTGCTTGATTTTGATTAGATCCTCCAAGAGTTCCCCTATAGAAACCACCCTAGAGATAAAGCCAAGAAGAGGAAGAAGAAGAGGAAGGGGAGAGGATCAGGAGAGAGCAGGGGGTGGGAAACAGATAGAAAAGAAAAACATATCAATCCACAGTATTATACATGTATTTATATATATGTTTATATTTATATAAAAGACATACACTTAAATATAAACACAAAAATACTAAAATACAGACAAAAACTTCTTCTTGGCACCTATGCAAGAAAAAAAGAAGATGTCAATTTGTTTAGAGAAGAAAGTAAGAGACTGGTAGAAGATGTCAATTTGTATGGAGAAGAAAAGAAGAGACTGGTATATAAAAACCACCCGGAGACGGAGCGACTAGAAAGGATAGTCAGAGCAGGGCCGGGGGGGGGTGCAAGAAAAATTTCATCAGTAGAACAGCCGGGGATGGGAGAGAGAGAAGAAATAGTAAGTTAATAAACCGGTCTGGCAGCAACATGATTAACGTTGAGGCCATAATAAGAAGGATAGAGATGATGGTGATGGTGATTATGATGGAGTGGATGGTAGGGGAAGTCGAGTGGCTGACGAGATGATGATGAGGAGGAAGAAGAAGAAGCGGAAGCGGAGGGAGGTCGGGTGAGGGTGTTAGTGATGAGAGAAGAAGAAGGGGTCCGGAGGGAAGATGTAGGGTTAGGACGGATGTCATGGTCGGAGAATGAGCGATTCTGGTGGTGAGAAAGGATGGCAGGACGAGATGTAGGGTGACGGGGACCATGGGGGAAGCCGACCGGATCGTCGGCACAGACGGAGGATTGTCGTGCATGAAGCGCGGGCGGGGGCCGGGAGGAAGCTAGAGGATCGTTGCGGCGCTCGACGAACTGGCGGGAGCTAGATGCCCGGGCGGTGGTAGAGAGGGCCTGGTGGTGGCTCTCCTGCAGGCCACATGACTGGAGTGGACGGGCGGAAATGAGGGGCGGGGTGACGCCGCGATAGGTCGGCTGGCGACGGTAGCCGCTATAGCCGTTCATGCCACTCGAACTCGGTGTTGTCATCCCTCGGGTTCCACTGCTCGTCAATCGAGCGTGGGCACTCGCCGGGCTCCGGTGTTGATGTGCTGCCGAGTCGATGTAGTGGCTCATTGTGAGCGAGGGCTGATTGCCAGAAGAGTCGGAAGACAACAGTGATCGGCCGTCAAGAGGTTCTTGGTCGTGAGGAGGTCTGTTCCGTTCCAGGGGTTTACGCAGTCCAGCCTGACTCGGGCCTTCGCCATTGTATTTGTCGCGACCCTTCTGGCCATCATCTTTGCCATAACATGAGTCTGTCCTCATAGAAAGCGGAGGCTGTCTGGTCTGTGGCAGGTGAGGTTGACGGAAGTCACTGTTACCAATGACGGCTTCTTCGAGCGAAGGACGGCCGTACAATCTGTCCTGGACGAAGGACATCTCTCCACTAGTCCTAGCCTGATATCCCAGCCCATCCGAAAGCTGGTCATCCGAACTACTGCTCTGTTCGCTGTCACTGGATTCTTCTACCTGTCCCAGGTGCTCATCACGCTCACGACTGTACGAATGATCGAAGGAGGGGAGGTGGCTGGGCTCGGTCTGTCGACGATTGGATGGTATTGAGGGATGATCCGCCCGGGGTCGATCAAGGCTGGAGACGATCGAACCGGCCCGATTCCAGCGCTCCTGACCCAACTCAAGCGCCGGCTGCAGTGGATAATGTTGCTTCCTGTTCTTCTCGGCCAGTAACAGGCGAAGATGCTCTTTCTTCTCCTCGTCCCTCATTCTGCGCTCATGAGCGAGTTGTTGGTCGATCAGCTTCTGTTGATGCTGATGATCCGATGGCTGGGCCGAGACTGATGATGATGAAGGGGTAGGACGACGTGTTTCCTGCTGCCGAGCCAGCAATCGTTTCTCCTGTGCCACTTTTTCCATCAAGTCCTGTTCAGCTTTGACAACATCGGCCGGGGTGATGTTTTCGAGCGCGATCGCTGATCTCTTGGGAGGCCCAACGGCCGAGGCCACGTCGGACTTGGAACTTGCGATGATTTCGCTACGCCTCGATGAGCTCAACCCCCCTAGAGCAGGCTGTTGATACGCGCGGAGCGAGGGTGACATGAGGATCGGTGGATTGACAGCACTCGACCCGAGGTTAGAGAGGGCGGGGGTAGCATAGACAGCTGGCCTGATGCTCATATCCGAAAGAGCAGCAGAGAGGGACGGCCTGGATAAGATTGGGGTCGGGGTCATCCTTTCCCGTCGTGCTGGAGTGGTGACTTCAGCCCTCAGACAAGATTGGGCAAGTTGATGGGTCGTGGGGGGCTTGTCAGGATGAGAGAGCAGCGGATGCTGGTTCTGTTGTTGTCGGATTGGAGTGTTGAATTCTGAGTTCCGCCGAGCGGGAGTGGTGATCTGGCGAGTTGGCTCGGTGCTTCGGCGAACTGGAGTGGTGCTCTGGTGAGCTGGAGTACTAGGTTCACAGAGCGAGGTGCGGTGGGTAGAAGTGGCTGGTTTGAAGTGAGCAGGGGCGGTGGAGAGGATGGACTTGGAGAGCGCTGCTGGGAGGGTCTGCTGGCGGATGGGGGTGGTGAGATGGGAGGTGGCTTGGTGGCTCCTCGCCGGAGGGAAGCCTTCGTCCGCCGATCGGGGGTTGATCCGGGAGGGTGCGGTTGCAAAGCCATTGCGGGCGTCCGAGGAGAGGGTTTGCTGGCGGATCGGAGTATGGAGATCGAGACTGGGTGGCTGACGGACCGAGCCCGGTTGCGGCTTGGTGGGTGAGCTGTGCTTGAGGGAGGGTGTTGGGTGACTGATGGCTGAGGCAGCGCTCTGACGTCGTGAAGAGCTCGAGGTGATGGTACTTCGATGTGGGGAGGAGTGCGAGCTGGGTAAGCTGGAGACGGTCGAGGTGGGTGGAGCTCTGCTGATTGAGGATCGGTCATCCAATTCGGATCGATGGTCGTTGACCAGGTGGGGACTGGTCCCTGACTTTATCCTCTTCTCGTTCATCAGTTTCTGTAATCGGAATGACCCTGATCATCAATCAATCAATCAATTAATTAATTAATTGATCAATTAATTGTTCACTTAGTCAGCTGTGATATGCACCAAATCTCACAGCAGAGATTAGTCAGTCAGACTTGGCTTACAAACTTCAAAGTCATCCAGATCGAGATGGGTACGATAGTCTATGAGTGAGAGGAACACTCGTTCGTTGGTATTGACCTCCTCGATCGGCAGTCCTGCGATTTTTGCCCCTACATTATCGATATCCTGTCAGTGTTTCGTCTTCAAGAGAAGGACACAAAAACAGTGCCACTGACACGCTCGGTTGGAGTAATTTCGATCGAGGAGATACTTGCTGGCAATCATCAAGCCAGCCAGGAACATCTTCCTGCCCGAGAGAATCGGATCCCTGAGTGCGAGATGATTGGTGGTGGTGGCGGTGGTGGTGGTGGAGATGTGATGTCTGAGTGGTTTCCTTGCCTGGTGGATGTAGAAGAGCGCCAGTTTGAGCGTGTTGTGATTGGTTCTTGATCGCCGGATGAGCTGGTGTAGGAAGCCGGTCAGATAGTCATTGTTGACTGATTCAGACGTGGATACTGATGCTGATGAGGATGATGACCAGATGGATTGGATTGCGATGAGGGTGACCTGTAGCAGTGGTGGTGGTGTTGTCTCCTGGTGGTTTTCTGGTATGACCTCGTTTGCAGCCTCTGCCTGGATTCCCATCCGCCGGTTCGATGGACTCGCTCTAAACCTTCTTCCGACCGTTCTCGTTGCCGTTGCCGATGATGAAGGGTTGGTGAGTTCTCGAGTCATCTTCTTCAAGAGACACAGACAGACAGCCAGAGGGAGCTCGCGATGGTTCTGCGCTTGCACTGCTGGTCAACTTTGGATGTAAAGGGCTTCTTCGATCGAAAATTGGATACCAAGGGTGTTGTTGCTGTGTAACGGATTATATAAGCAACCAACCCTTATACATATCAATTATTACATCAACTTTCGATCAGCCATCATCATCATCAGATTCAGATTCAGACTGTCAAACAGCGGAATACCCGCCGATGATCAACACTTAATGAAAGGGAGACCCGAGATCGGCACAAGTTATTCGCACTTGACCAACAAACCAAGCAGTCCTCACACAGCTCATCAAGCCCCACATGACCAGATTGAATATTTTAATTTCCAACCCCATTGAACTTTGGATAAACCTTGATGATGATGATGTGAATTAGAGGCTCCAGATATCCAAAAAAACAACAAACGATATCTTTACAACAGACAAGAAGAAAATAACCAGCACCAATGTGACTGAAAGCTCCCTCTCTGATGTTGAATATGAAAGATAAAAAAAAATCTGAATCCTATGTAAGCAAGTTCCAAATGAACTCATAATTTCTCAAAGAACTTGTGGACTTGTGCTTTGATTGCTCTATTCATCTCAAGTGCTGGAGGATGCCAAATTTAAAGGGACCATCATTTCCTGATGACACTAACTCCATGAATTGTTCAGCCAACAAATCCCTTGTGCATTTCACACATTAGAGTACCAACCTTCCCCCCCATTTGATGAAAGAAATCAAGGGTTGTTTGAAAACACAGGTCTGCAGTTTCATGTGGCTTCAAGACTCATCTTCTTGTGTTTTTCAACATCAAAACAGATTTTATACAAATTACCATTACAATGCACATACTTGAAAGAACCTACATTTACATTTCCATCTTATCCATAATCAGAAGATATTTCAATGTATTCAAGTATGAAATCCTTTTCAAGAATTTTGGCTCAATTGTCCAACCTTTTATCTTGAGTTTTTAATCACAGCAGAATATTCAAAAGGAGAAAAAGATTGGGCTTGATTTTATCTTGTGTTGGAAGTAATTGCAACCAATATATGTATTCACAGAAACCATGCAAGATGAAATAGACCCATCAATCATGTTGAATTAGATCCACAAAAAAATCAAGAAACTTCTTCTGATAGTTTTGGGAACTGGTAACCTGAAGGATTCAAGTGAACCATTGTTTTGGGATTGTATAAGAGAAGATCCAAATAAGTGTTAATGTTATCTTTCCAGAATTAGGCTCAATTAGAATAAAACTATGTATGTAGAGATGCAGAGTTGATTAAATTTAAGAGACAGTCTCCTCATTGTTTTTCCTTCTTGAAATTCACATAGCAACTTTTCTGTGTGGATTCATTCTTTTTCAGTCCTAAGATAACTAATTAGGCTACACTGGTGCTGCTGTTCAAACTGATTGAATGCTTAAATTTTTGGTTCTGAAGCACCTTCTGCATGTATTTAATACTTTTATTAACCTTGGCCTTGCCCAACTGGTGACTGAAACTAGGGATGCTGGAAAGCCTTGATAAATCAAGAAACTGTGGTGACCAATCACCAGTCAAGTGGGGTGATTTCAGGGTTCTGAGTTTGTGTTGAGAGATTGTTGGTATTGAAAATGCTGACCACACTGTCATCAATCCAACTCTGTAAACACATGAGTGATTTGAGGGTTGTGGCTCTCATTTGGTTTTGTCTGTAATCTTGAATGAAGTTTTTTTGGCATTGCATCTACATATAACTAGAAGAATAAGCTCAGAGAGCCAAACAAAGTTTCATGCAATATAACACCAGTGTTGACCTCCAATTCACATTTTTTGACACAGGTGTTAGACCAAGAAAGGTGCACAATTCAAGCAATACCTCCGGAAGGCGCAAAAGGTCATTGAGTAAAGCGCCCCAAAATTCAGGGCAAAAAAAAAGGTTAACACTTCAAACTCCTTGAAATTGGGGGCAAATACTAGTCCCTAATATGCTTTTGGTTCACCATCTTTGCCTTCAAATTCGTGGTCAAGGTATGAGTTGATTTCCTGATAAGTGACTAGAGAAAAGACAATTCACTGTCTTCCATGGCCAAGAATCCAACTAGCCAGTCCAGCAACGGTGAAACCAATACAATACATGTGTCTGTATTTATTCGTATTTGTATCTGTTTTTCTTCAAATACCTTGTATTTGCATTGTATCAAAAACAGATACTATAAAAATGAATCAAAATACTTGTATCTGGTCATAAGTACAGCCAGATAAAAAAAATACAATACAGTATATTTTTGTATCTTCCAAAATTTTTGTTGGAAACAGTCCAAATTGGCCAAAAAAATGTGCAGTGGTTTTTTTGATACAATACAATCATATTGTATCTGTAATCAGATACAATACACAATACAAATTTCTTAACATATCAGAAAAAAGATACAATACAAAATTCTCTGCAGATACTGTATTGTATTGTATCTGTTTCACCATTGAGTCCAGGCAGACCATCACATTGAGTCTTGACCTACTGAAACTGATGCACATGGTCATGCCAATCTACACTTCAAGGTCTCTGGAGACAGTTGAGAGTTGAGCTCTCTTCACCTCCATCTCCACCTCCAACAGTACACATAGATCATCCAGCAAGTCAGCTTCTATCCTCCTCTTCTTCTCCATAGCTGCCACTCTATTTTTTGAGTTCAGCCCCCCCCACCCTATGCAAACACGTGTAGTAGGGGGGGGCTGTGTGATTGAGTTCCCCCTCTTCTCCCATGAGATTCCAGCTTCACCTTCTGCAGCTCTTTCCAGACAAAGGGGAGTTTTTTGGAAGTCCCAGAGTCCTGCCGCTGTGGTAAGCCAATCTTGAATAAGAGGCCCACAAAATCAAAGCCTCAAGCACAATATCAAGCCTTCAGGAATGACAGGACCCTCAAGGAGCAAGATAAGCCCCCTCTGGGACATTCAACCAACCTGCAACACCATGGATGTCACAAGACCAAGCCCCCTGGACAGAATACACTATGGATGCACATTTTGTTTCTTTAGTACACTATCAACTCATGCAGTCTTACATCATGAATCTCCAATCAGCCTTCCACACTTAGCCTCTGCATGTGTTTCACTCAAATCCAATTTCACTCTAGTCTCATTTCCAATTTGTGCCACATTCTATGGTTTCACACTATTCCTCTTGGGTTATTTTCATGTCTCACATATATTCTTCCTCCCTCATTGGTTGTGGCACATTTCATCCCTGCATTTCTCTGATGTCATTTCCTTCATTTAGCTTAGTGCTTACCAATTGGGCCACATTGTTTCAGTTTGATAATTTTCTCTTGTTCCATTTTGTTCTATGGTGTTTCCAACCACAAGCTGGCCACTCCCCAGATTTTGTATATAAGGAGCCTTGTTTTCCCCTTTTCATTTGCTCCCCATCAGATCCTGCCCCAGCAATCCATATAACTGATCACCCTTCATTAATCATTAGCCTAGCAGCTGCCCATCAAAATTTGGGATAGTAGTATTTTTCAGACATAAGACCAGAAGACAGAAGACATACACATCTCAAGAAGACTCCAAAGCCACACCTTTCCTGAAGAGTCCACACTCTTATCTTTTCTTCTTATCTTACTCAAACCAGTTTCCAGAGAGGCAGCCCATTAAAGCATCTTTCCCTCTCCAGATCTACTCATCCCAAGAGGAGTTCCACACCTCCCCCTCTTTCTACCATACCCACACACACTGGGACTGTCACAGCTCTACGCATTATCCTAGAAGGCAAGGGTGTTGGAGAGGCTTGAGAAGAATGGATCTTGAAGCAACATAATCTTCAATTTTTTCTTTTTGGACAAATCTGAACTGATTGATGATCAAGGAGAGTCATTTTGGGCTTGTTATTTCTACTTGGATGTCTATGATTTTGTGTAAAAAGAATGACAGCTTATAAGATCCTCATTGGAATATTTGAACTTTTGGATGATTTCCTCCTTGCTCACATCAATGGGATTGAGAAGACTATTTTTCAAACCATCAATTTTGAGTCAAGGATCAAGCAAGTTTGAGCAGAGGCAAACAGTTATCCTAACAAAAATATTGAAGTACTCCTTGATTTTTTCAATCATTCAGGTTGATGCTGGAACCCATTCCAGAGCATCATCCTGAAATACAGACTGATACCAGATATTTGGAATAAAATGTCAGTTGGATGATTTGAGAGAAGAAAATTGATATCAGTTAAGGGGTGTCTTTCACAGAATTGTGGGATAATTGTATACTAGTTGATTTTGATGTGTGCACTTTAACTGATCCTCTAATAATGAAGTCATGATTGTGATCAGTACCAACGGTGCCACAGATACAATACACTGTGTGTATCATGGAGAATTCTGCAAAGCTGCTTGGCCAAAAACCAAATATCTTGAATCTACTTGCAAATAAAAGCAGATTGGTCAGATAGTTTTTTTTATTGGGGCTCAGATCCATAGTGATACATGGCAGATACATTATCTGTTTCAGAGTTGTCAGTACAGTGGGTAGAGATGGGCGCACCCCATCCGGATATCCGTTCGGATTCGGATATCCTCTCACCATTTCAGCGGAATTGGACATCCGCATCCGCATACGCATACGCTGGCGGATACCCGCCAGCGTTGGCGGGTATCCGCGCAGATACCCGCGGATACCCGCCCTCTGAATGGGCGGCGAGGCTCTTCCAGGAGTGTTTGTTTTAAAAAAAAGAAAAAAAAAAAGAAAAAAAAACCAGCCCCCTCGGCCTAAAGGGGCAGAGGCCCACCTGTGTCAATTAAATTCTTCGGCTTCAAGCCGAAGAAAAAACCGGCAACATCTTCCGCTTGAAGCCGAAGCTTCTGCTGGGCTGGGTGAGCTGCTCTGAGCTGGCTCACCCAGCAGACTAGATTTCCAAAATCAAAACCAGAGACAAAGTCTCTGTAGCTCAATGGTTTGCACTGGCCCCAGAAT